ACACTCGCAATTGCTATGATAAAAATTCCCCCAATGTACTCAAGCTGATAACACATTAAGTACCTCCTGTCCGGCCGTTGCAATTAAACGGCCGGACAGCGGCTTCTTGAGGGCGGGTGGGCGTCTTTAGAAATCGGCTTTGAATGTAAACAGCCAGCGATGGCGGTTTACATACAAGCGATCGGGCGTCTGTAGAGACGCCCGATTGCTTGTAATATCCAGTCTGGTGTGCGCCCCCCTCAGTCGCAGCCGCTGCTGGCGATCCCGGGCTGCGCTGTAGCACAGCAGCTCAGCGGCCGGAGATCAAATGGAGATCAGTAAGCTCCGCTGTTCCCAGTGTGAGCCCGGGACCAGCACAGCAGCTCTGCGGCCAGAGATCAAACTGAGCTCAGTACACGAGCAGTGCAGTGGTGATTAAATATCACCAAAAGAAAGCTCTATCTGTCCCCAAAAAATTGTATAACATTCATTTCAGTACAGCGTTGCATGACGGAATAAACGTCAGCCAAAGTACCGCAGCGCTGAACACTGAAAAATGGCCTGGACAGGAAGGGGGTGTAAACACCCCGGTCAGCAAGTGGTTAAACATTTAAGCTGGTCATACACTTTACAACCATCGCAAGACTTTTGTCTTGTGATGGTTGTAAGCTAACTAAAAGCTTGTACGATCTGCCCATCTTGGACAGGCAGATCGTACTTGCGATCATCGCAAGCCTGCCCCGCCGAGGGGAGGGCTTCCGATGACTATAATGCTGAGCGGGCAGTGTGCGCTTGCGCACACCAGCCCGTGCGGCATTTGTCTTACGAGCCCGCCACAAACCCGCCAAAAATCTTACAATTTTCGGCTGGTTTTCAAACATGCTCGTAAGACAAAAGACGTGCGACCGTACAGTAGAAACTGTCGCACGCCTTCCATACACCTGCCGATTATCGTACGATCGCGGGATTTCCCACGATTATCGTACGATAATCGGCAGGTGTATGGCCACCTTTACAGTGCTGGAGAAAAAAGTAAGTGAACCCATAGACTAATTACTTCAACGAAAGCTAATTGGAGTCAGTAGCTTGCACACCTGGAGTCCAATTAATGACATGAGTTTGGAGGTGTGGTTTAGAGCTACTTTGAGTGATAAAAGATACTTAAAAATGTTAAGATTGCTGTTCTTAAGAAGCATCGACTGATGTGAACCATGCCTCGCAAAAAGAAGACATACAATCAAGATTTGTTGATCTGCATAGGGCTGGAAATGGATACAAAAGCAATCTCAAAGTTTTTAGGCATCCATCAGTCGACAGACATATTGTCCATGAATGGAGACAGTTTAGTACTGTGGCTACTCTTCCTAGAAGTGGGTGCCCAGCCAAAATAGCTCCCAAGGCACAATGCAGAGTCCTCAATAGGATCGCCTTTAGTGTCTGTTTACAGGGGCCCGCTGCCAGTGACATATGACTTACGTCCTTGGCAGAGAAAGGGTTAAAGAGACCTTGTTGCCAGACCACTAATTTAAACAAAAATAGATGTTAAAGTGGAACTCAACTTCCCCAAATAATTGGAACCAGGCAGGCTTTTTATTGCAGAAAGGGCATGCTATGTCTCTTCTGCAGTAAAACAACCTTACCTGCCTGTCAACAATCTCCTCCAGGAAAAATAAAAACTCCCCTTGCAATAGGGCTACTGTCTAGGGTACCATTCAGTGGCGGATTTGGGGGGGGGAGGGGCAACGCCCACCCGAGATAGTACCGCTCCCTCCCTCCTCCGCCGCTCTGCCACCCTCAGCAGTAGAACTGGGGCGGCTGTGCGGGGATAGAGAGGCTTTGCCGGTCACCTGTCAGGGCTGTTCAGCCTGGCAGAGCCGCTACTGACACTGCAGGCATCGCCAGGCAGCACATCCTGCGGTGTGGGAGAGGACCCTCTCCTGTACTCCGTCCTGTCCCCTTACCACCAAGACAAAGAAGGTGCTGCAGGAGTCAGGTGAGGCTGGTGTGGGTGAAGTCTGGAAGGGAGGGGGTGGGGGGCGGGTTTGTGTTGGTGTGAGAAGCTGGTGGTATTCAGCATTGTTGATTTGCATTATAATGTATTGCTGGGACTTGTAGTCCTGTATAGCTGATAGACATGTGCACCAGCAAAAGATTTGTTTCGTTTCGATTCGGATTTTGCATATTTTGTTTTTCGGATTCGGGTCCGCAATTGAATTCGTTGTGGGATTCGGATGAAATTCGTTGGCAGTAATCGTTTTCCGGATTCGGGTCCGCAATTGAATTCGTTTCGGGATTCGGACGCAATTCGTTAGCGGTAGTCCTGTCGAAATTTTGTTTATTGGACGAAATTTCAATAGCAGCAAAGTGACATTAGAATTTTTTTTTTTTTTTTTACAGTCTGCAGAAGGTGAAAAAAAAAGAGTGAGGTTCCCCACCAATTCATACCAGACCCTTTAGGTCTGGTAGGAATGTTAGGAGGGACCCTCCCCCAAGTTAAAACAAAAAAAAGTGCGTGGGGTTCCCCCCAAGGACCGTCCCCCAAGTTAAAACAAAAAAAAGTGCGTGGGGTTCCCCCCAAAATCCCTACCAGGAATTTTAAGGGGGAACCCCAGCCCAAAAAAATGGAGGGGAAAAAACGTGGGGGTCCCCCCTAACAGTCCTACCAGACCCTTGATCCGAGCACTGGCCCGGCAGGGTAGGAAATGGGGGGAACCTCACGCTTTTTCTTTTTTCATCTTCTGCAGACTGTAAAAAAAAAAATCTACGAAATTTCGACCGGACTAACGCTAACGAATTTCGGGAATTCGGATTCGTTTTAGCTGTAATTTGGAATTTGGATGCTTCCGGATTTCCGAAACATTGTCCAAATTTCGATTCAGAACGAAACGAATTGCACATGTCTAATAGCTGATGGTATTCTGCATTGCTGTATAATGCTTATACTGAAGCAGTTGCCTGAGGTCCCACGCTTGCTGGGGACCTCGGCAGCCTTCCTGGTAACCACACAGTGCTTGTTTATAGTGCCATCTGCACATCTCCTCCTCCTCTTTGGAAAAGCCTGCACTCGCACGTGATACGCCACACAGCCCTAGGGGATCCCAAACAGCCCACATGAGACCCTGCACAGCCCTCCTGGGACCCCCGCACAGCACTGGTGAGACCCTGCACAGCCTCCTGCGACCCCGCACAGACCTCCTGAGACCCCGCTTAGCCCCCCGAAACCCCCCACAGCCCTCCGGAGATCCCCCACAGCCCACTTAAAACTGTCCACAGCCCTCCTGAGATCCTCCGCTGAAGACATCAGGCTGGTACCCCAGTGCCAAACAGTATGTAGCTTCATATTATTTTGCATTGCTGTATAATGTATTGCTGGGATTTGTAATCCTCTATAGCCGGTTGCTATTCGGCATTACAGTATAAGGTATCATTTGGATTTGTAGTCCTCTGTAGCTGATGGTATTCTGTATTGCTGTATAATGTATTGCTGGGATTTCTAGTCCTCTATAGCTGGTGTCATTTTGCATTGCTGTATAATGTATTGCCAGGATTGTAGTCCCTTTACAGCTTGGACCTTATTTTCTGGCAGTCCCCCCGGTACCGTTGTAAAGGACTTTTACTTACCTGATCCCCACTCCATCAGCATCCAAGGCTGGCACCTGCTGCCTTTTTTTGCCCCCTTGCTCCAGAGGTCCATAGTCCTGCATTATATGTGAGGACACCAAGGGACAGTTTACTAGCTGGAACATAGAGGAGACAAGGTGATCACCAGCTGCCGGGAGCACGGGGATCAGTTAGGTAAAGGTCCTTTACACAGCTCCCCTAGATACTAAACTCTTGTCTAGGGGCCAGAATACAGAATACTCACCCGATCCTTCGTCCCGCTGGGCTGTGTGGTAGTTTGCGGAAAATGGCGCAATGGTGATCGCTAAGTGGCCACTCCTGAAGCTGACTTTAACATAGAAGGACAGTCTTTATTCATTCAAAGGCCAACAATCCATGTACGGTACTTCACATAATAATACTCTTTTCTTCTGCATAATGAAACATAACATTTCATTTGAATTTCCTCAAAACATCATGTTTTGGTCTCACCGAGATCTGGCTGTCCCATACACTCCCAGTGTGATAGTCCCAGGACTTTATCGTATTTCTCTGCAAATACAGTCCTCAGTATTGCTCAGCAGCTTTCCTCAGCTCCAAGCGTTTCAGTGTTCACCCCTCATGGGTCACTGTCTCTCTCTGTCTCTTGGGTATCTTGGGTGTCACCAACCCTCTTGACCTCTCCCAGCCTTCCTGGCTGTTTCACACATGCAGCAGAGTCTGTCATGTGTCTGCTGCACACCTACAACTCCCTCTCTGAGCTCTGGTCCGGACTCATAAGTCTGTTCTCAGCCACCGATCCTCCTAGACTGATCATTGGCAACACTTGGCGCGGGACTAGAGATTCCATCCCACTATAGTCTGGAATACCTGGAAGAAACTGAAAAGCCAGTTTCTTCCCTGCAAAAGTATTAACATCCTGGAACCTCTCAGTCCCTCTAACTAAGTGTCCTGGGTGACTGTGTTGCCAAATTACATCGAGGCATTGCCACACCCTTCTAAAGCTGCTAGACTGGTCCCTTCAGCCTCTTCTTTCCCAGGCTCTGAGGGTTTAAGGACCATTGACATCATCATGTCTAATGCAGGTCCATTGACTTGAGGATGCCAAAGGAGTGGAGGGGGAGAGTGGTGAGCACCAACCGCCACAGGACCAAGAATCAGGAGAATATATCTGCTTTATTGGAGCCCCCTCGACAAAACGAACACTTAACACTTGCGATGCAGCGGTAAGTTTTTTAAATTCCTGGAGTTCGTCTTTCAATGTAAATATTAATGTGTATTATTTCATGTGTATTGTCACAGAAATATTATGTACATTCATTGTGTAAATACATGCACCTGTATGACAAATGATCGGATTGGACATATTATTGTACACTTGGTGTAAATTACCAGTTTCTTCTCTTCTGACAGTATTCTAGACAACACAGCCTGCACGTAGGTGTGCGACCCTTCCACAGCGTCTACAGATCACCATGGCAGCTCGTACATTAAAGAACGTCAGTGCAACCTGATCCTTGGTAACTGCCAATCATGGGCAACAGTGCCTGACTAACCCCACCCACCCGTCTTATTCCTCCAATGTGATTGGGTAATGAAAATGTCCTTCTGGCAGCAGGTAGCTTGCTGAATGCAGGTACTGTAAAAAAAAAAAGATACACAAGTCTGGGAAGCTGCATATCTAACGTAACTTCACCACTGCAAAGCTTAACCCCATGAAGAACATCCAGGAGAAACAGGTCAGTGTAATAAACTTTGACATGTGTATGTTTTAGGCAAAGGTGTTTTCTAAGCAAGATACAAACTGAATACATAATGTCAATTATTTATGTATGAAAGGCTACCATCCAGTCAAGCAGCACTGTAAGATTGGGGAAGTAGATAACACACACACAAATGACAGGCAGTCATTGACAATAATAGAAGACAACAAGCAAATTACAAAGAAACACTTTAGGCAGCAGACAGACGCACAATGCTTGTGTTGCTTTACATTACCTAAAAATAGATGACATTGCAAACAACAGAACTGCTGCAGAAGTGATGCAAGAATTGGGCAGTGTGCTATTTATTGATATCTTACTTGGCAGATATTCTGCTACTTGTCTTATTCACTTGGAATGGTAGGCACTCATAATAAAGCTAACAATGGTCTCTGAATTCCAAGTACAGTTTAGATCTTGCCCTTAGAAATGTTTTTTCCTGGAAATGTTTCTGATTTATAAATAATAATTAAAACGTCACTAAAGTCAGGAATTAAATCTGAAAAAAATGCATCTTGAAATACAATGAAAACTGTATCTTATTTGTGTATCACTCGGCTGTAGATCTTCAAATCATCTCTGAATTGTGCTGACACTGTCCTTCCTTCTGGATGAGGGCTACTTTTGTTCCCCATGGTCCCTGTGTGTGTTGTAAAGTAGCCACTGCTCCAAGCTCACTCCTGTGATGGACTACAATCTCATGTATCATTTACTAATCTGTATTGAGATTGTATCCATTAGGGGAGTAAGACGGGTCTCTTACATGCAAACTAGCTGTGAATTCTACTTAGCTTGCTGAGAGCTTCTCTAACTGATTATTTATGTACATGCATGAGGGCAGTGTGATATAATGGGGGCCGAAAAACTGAGGGTTTTATTGTACACAAATTATTTGTTTCATAATAAAAAATTAATATAACCCGGGATAATGAAAATGAAACATGACATTTTTTATTTATTGTATGACCAATCAGCAATATATAGTGTAACTGCCCACCTGCTTCTGTAATGTAAGGAGATGTATGCTTACAAACAGATCATTACAGCAATAAGTTTGTGTGCTGGATATTCATAAATGTGTATGCGCACAGCCCTGCAGTGGCTACACATGCATTTTAGGCATGTGCGTGTCAGGTTTGGGTTTAGTAAATCAATGACAACATTGAGATTTCAGTTCAGTACACCGGAAGTTACAAACACACTGGATTTCTATTGGGAATAACTGGTATTTTTTTGTATTTGCAGAAAATGTTCTAAACCTAAAAAAATTAAAGCAGAACTCTGGGGAAAACATTCTTAACCCTTGCAGTGGGGCTACCCCCGCACTGCAAGGGTTAAGTGCTCATTTATGTCTAGGTAAAAAAAAAAAAAGTTATACTGATTCGCGGGGGTGGCCAGCTCTTAGACTGGTCCCTTTCACTTCGCTCCCCCTCCATTCCAACAGTCTAAGGATCCTCTAGCCATTATGTTCTATACAGTATATAAAACGTGAGGATGCCAAGGGACATGCCATCGCTGCAGTGGAGGAGGATACAGGCTGGAGGAAGCGCTGTCACAGCTGTACAGATCTGAGGTTCAGATGAATAAAACTTTTTTTTTAACTTAGACACAAACAAGCAGTTAACCCTTGCAGTGCAGGGGTAGCCCCCGTAAGGGTTAAGCATTTTTCGCCTGGTGTTCTTCTTTAACGTTTGCAGCCTCCCCCACCAGTTTAAAGACTGGTAAGCTAAAACATATTGCATGTTTTTACTTGGGTATAGATATCCATTATAGATCTGTAAACCAGGAATTTTTCATGTGTGTTTTGTCAGTTGGTCTTGTCATCTGTTTTTCCATATTTATATATTCAAATGCTGTACCAGGAACTATCATTTTAATACTATTTGGCACTGCTGTGTGTGTATATTTCAAACTTAAGATAACTGGTAGTGAAAATCATTAGCTGACGTGGCTGCCCCATGGGTTTATCCCAAACACTAATATTGCTGTGGTCTTACGGGATTCCCAGAATAATCTTTTATGATCGACCACCCAGTAATTTTATGGATTCAAGTTTAGCATTAGTAAATCTGTGGTGCTACCACACCATAGAAAGATCTTTTATGAAAGACCACTATGCCTGCTCATGGATCAGAGCTCACATTGTTAGTTTGCTGCGGTGCTATTGCACTACCAGAGAAATTGCTTTTAAAATGAATCATCTGCTATATTTCTAGACACCTTGCCTGGTCCATTGGTAAAGTCCATTCTTTACAGTGATACTACCTCACCCAGAGACAAAAATTGAGAAAGAAAAGATTCTTTCTTGAAACTTTTATACATTATCTGCTGATGGTAAACTTGGCTTTTCACAGCTCCTCAAACACCTCCTGGCTCAGAGGGATTATTGATTTCCTATTCCTAGTCCAAGAATCATAGTCTTTCAAAGCTAGAGATCCACGGTGTTTGGTATTGCCTTACTCTGTGAAGTGTTCAGAAGAAGAACAACTTTTTTTTCCTTGTCCAAGGTTGGTTTTCCCCCAAGGCAAGCGGTTCTGATATGTTCTGTAAACAAAAGGTTGTTTTTTTTCAAGAAAGATAAAGTTCTTCTTTTTTAGTTTCATCTTCTGTATCTGGTTGATCCAACTTTGATAGTTCTCCAAGGCTAGAAAAGCCAGATGCTATCACTTATATCAGCAACCTGAGGCAAAATGGAGAGGTCATGTCTACAAGAGTTACCAATACCAAAGTAGGGCTTCAAAACATGGAATAAATGAACACACATCCTGCCCATATATCCCTCCCCTTAAAATGAAATGAATAACTTTTGGTGGAATTCTTCTTTTGACACAATATTGTATAACTACTGAGGCATGCAGGGAATGTTGTTCCAGTAATGAGAAATGTGCGATTCGTTTCGTTCCGAACCAGTATCCGGATACATATGAATTTCCGAATCCCAATGCATCCGAATGTGTCCGAATTTCCGTTTCCGGATTTCAGATCCTGTCTGAATTTCGTTCAAAAACTAAACTGAATTGGAAATGGGACTTTTCTGGCCAATCAGATGTTTTTTGGTTTAACGCATCCAAATGGGTCTGAAAACGAATTTTCGTTATGGCAAAATGGGAGCTATGTGTGTATATATATATATATAATGCTAAAGCTGAGGCTCCTGGATACGAATTTCCGAATTGCATTTAGGGAGCCTCAGCTTTAGTAATATATGTATATGGTTCCCAGACCTGAATGGCATTCGGGAGTTCCTGAATGCAATTCGGTAATTCGAGTCTGGGAGATTCAGCTTTATTATTAATATCTGTATATGGTTTTCTGTGGTATTCGCAACGAATATTCATAAACTCATCCGAAACTAATGAAACATTCAGATTTCGGCCGAATACGAAACCCGAACCGCATTGAATTTCGGATCCCGAAATAAGGAAATATCTGAACTGAACCGAATTTTTCATAGGTTACCTGACTAGTAATGAGTACTTACTATAGATAGATATAAAAGACACAAATTAATGCAGCTCTGTATTCGTTAATATCTCAATTACAACTACAAGCTGGCAACTAAAAATATCGGGGTACTACATCCCAACACAAGACTACCTATTACTATTCCATTGAATTCCAGTTCCTCATTAAATATAGATTAGGAAGAACCTTCCATCTGATCTGTATCATACAATACAGGGGAAAAGAGTTACATTTCAACTTTTGTACAGTAGGTGGTGATATTTGATATATTTTCAACACGTTTTGCAGCCAATATCGCTGATTCTTCAGAATAGCAGAGATTTCTAGAAAAATAACTATTATATAATAATAATAACTCAAGGAGACTGGTCTAGAGATGCTTATACATTTGGAGTAATAACGGAAGGCTGTTCACAGCACCCATTCTCCCAATACGCATTAACTACATTAACACATCATCAAATGTATTTTTTAATGCAACACAAGTAGCCAGTCCGTTGTGCTGAAGTGCTTATTGTTAAAGAACATGCTGATAAGAGGAGAGAGCAGAGTGAGAGATGATCTCATCCGTCTGTTGCTTATACTTTCACAGCCCCTTTCGCACTGTCACTGTTGTGACATCCTTGTCCATCCAGTTTTGAACTGAAATAACTGGATCCCATGTCGGTCTATGGGGAATCAGATGTAAACACATAGATTACACTCGATCAAGCACGATCAGATCCAGTGAAATGGAACACTGTTCCCTTTGTTTTTCCAGAACTGGCTGGATTCGGGGGGTAATCAGATGTACATGGACAATCGTCCATTCAGATCCGGCTGCCCATAGACTTACATTGGGCATCTGATCTGGTCTGCCTTAAAAACTGACAGGCGGACGTGATCGGCCTAAGTGTAACTTAAAATGTTTTTCATTGCTGATCATTGTCATTGTGACTGAAAATAGGGGGAAATCTAAATATTGCATTTCACTGTTTGCAGAGGTGGCAGCTCATACACACAATATTAGTAGCTGCACTAAGTGCTGGTTCACACCTGAGCGTTTTTCAGCGCTGATCGACGCGCTGAAAAACGCTTAACATTGAAAATCCCATGCATTCCTATGGGCCTGGTTCACACCTGGGCCTATTTCAGCGCGTTTTGTCGCGCTGAAAAACGCCCTACGCGCGAAAAAGTACATGAGCTTCTTTTTGGCAGATTTAAACGCTGATTCTGCCATAGACTTCAGTGGAAATGCCCTTAAAAGCGTGTTTGAGCGTTTTTGCGTTAAAAAACCGCGCGTTGATACATGCGTTTTTCACAGGCACGCAGGGCACACTCTGGGGACCGTCAGGCACACTTTTGGACCACTTTGCTGCATCATGGAGGACTCAGCACTGTGTGGCCTTGTGGATACAGAGACTTTTATCCGCATGGTGCAGGAAAAGCCATGCATATACGACCGGCAAGACGCAGGCTGTAAAAATAGGAGGAAGCAGGCATCGTCAGAAATTGGCCAAAAAATCTGGAGT